TTTAAAAGAAAATTAACCTCTATGTTGTCATGCCAATAGAGACTAAAGTCTCCAGAGATCTTTCACTATTTACAATAAGATCCTTATCTAAGTCTATGGAATCCTTTTCAGACATGCATGATACAATGCTTCCTACAAATGAAAATTTTCTAAATTCATCACCTTTGTGAATGTAATCGCCCTTCTTCTTTATGAAAGTGATACTTCTGTTCACTGCGATAGGATTCACCATATACAAAGATCCTGGCATATCCACCAAAGCCTCAATAACTCTAAAAACTGATTTAAATGTTGCCGCACAAATAGCAATGTCATCATGATCTTCATAGGCAATTGGCCTTGCTCCAGACTTTAGCTCTCTTGTGAAGAATTCATTAAATGTCTTGAAAGAGTCAATAGGATGCTTGATCTCATCAATATTAATTTGATCCTTTCCAGTTTCACCTTCATGTTCCAAGCATTCGGCAAACATAGGACCTGCTCTCCATCTTCAGGAACTTGATTCTTGAGTTCAAGAACCATTTCTTGGCTCAGCTCTCGCTTCATCCAGCAAGATTTGTAATGCATAAGGCTCTGGCTCAGCATCGTGGAGGTTGAAGAGGCATCTTGCTTTGGGAGATCAAGTGATTTGGAGCCGTGGAGGGATGACTGGCTGGCTCAATTTGTCTTGCTTACGTGAGGTTGAGGTGGACGGACAGACAAGTGTGGATCTCATGGGTGGTGAGATTCGGTGGAACAAAGAGGTTGGAGGCTAGTTGAATGGAACTTGGACTGGAGTTACACCTTGAGGTTTGAACAGGATAACAAAAGGGAGGCTTATGGACTTTAGGCTACAGTTTAGAGCCGGATAAGGGCTGAGATTGCAAGGGAAGATGGGACGTGAAGAGCTGCTTGAGGCATTGGAAGGAGACGGACAGGGATTTGTTCGACAGGTTTTATGTGAGGTGGAGTTCAGGCCTTGGACGGATGAAGGGCAACAGTGGTGTTGAGAGCTTGTTTGCAGCAAGAGAACTGATGACTGGAGGTGACAATGCTGTTCAAATATGCGGTTGGAGAGCTCCAGAAGGAAGAAGATCCCTGAAGTACACTAGAAGTGGGGAGCTTTCACGTGGCAATACTTAGCTGCTGGAAATTCTACGGAGCAAGTTGTCTGGAGAAGAAACAAGCAGAGATTTGGTTGTAGGAATGGTGAAGACGGGAGGATTGACGTCTGGCTCGAGTAAGGAAACTC